TTTTCTTCTTCCCCATGAAGGTCGTTTTCACCATCGCTGCTCTGTCCGTGGCCGTCGCCGAGTATTGTCAGGATATTTGTGATGGTTATTCTCCCTGTGCTGACTCCAAGTATGGCTCCTACTGCAAGGGAAATGGTGTCTGCTTTGGTCTCTACCATAAGGATGATGGTTACTGCTTCCAGCCGACCGAACAAGACACCTGTGATGACTACACGTTGGAGCCGGTGGCTTGTCCCGAGCCCACACCCACCTGTCAGGACGTCTGCAATGATATGTCTCAGTGCCGCGATTCCAAGTGGGGATCGTATTGCAAGACTTGGCAGAATCCGGCGGTTTGTTTCGGTATCATCAAGAAGGATGATGGTTCTCTTTGCTTTGCCCCCACTGATAGTGACTGCGAAGGTGAACCCTACTATTGTTAGCCTAGTTTAGGTATTCCTTAGCATCAACTATGTTGGTCGAATGTTCTTTTCTGAGTAATCGTGCAATCACATCTAGGTAAGTGGTCCAATCATTAATATTCTGTTGTGTTTTGTTGGAAATCCGGATTGTTTCTGGTAGAGTAAACGGAGTTCAAGAGACACTGTGCGACTCATTCGTTCCCAGAACTCGCCCTGTGACTCGTGAGGACAAGGGTAACTATTCGCCGAATCACATTGTCCGCCATTGATTTTGATACCACTATTGTTACCGCAGTGGTCACAGATGCCAAAGGGGATTTGCCTATCTTTTACGTATCCACTACAACGCAGGGTAGATGAGCTAGGGATGATTGATTCGACATACATCAGCAAAACACCTGAATCTTACTCAGTAAGACTTACTGTATCAATGGTATGATGGGCCAATATACTGTATAATATACAGTGTATATTATATACAGGGCAATTATCACGCATGATTGTAGATCTGGTGCGCTGATTTAATCAACTCGCCAGAAGCAATGGGTCATATATGGGCTTTCCGAGGAGAGCTGTTACTAATGTTGGCTGTTGGGGATTCTTCAAGGTTGGGTTGCACCATCGCCGTGTCAACGCGATTGATGTCGGTTTCGATGTCAAATTCGAGCGTACATTCTCGGTGGAGTGTCGGAACTTCGTGGTGCTGAAAAGAACTCGATACTCCTCCTCGTCGAGTTGAAGCCGTAGGTTGGGCATTCCTTGATAACCGCTTCCCAGAGGACCGTAGTAACGTTCAGGCCATTTAGTCCATCGTGCCGGGCCGTATTCTGGAAACATAGCCTACGTGAAGGAGATATTCCTCGATGTAAAGTGACATTTTCAGGGAGCGAGCATGGAACAATGGGGTTTCATTCGTTTCATATGACGTGGCGTGACACTACGTTTAACCTCTGACCACAATCTCGCTAACTCGCGCATTAAACCGTCGACGCAAGCAAAGGAGCTCCGTAGACTGAGGGGAGACGAAGAGGATGCAACACGAAGGCTCACCCTCTATCCGGAAAGGAATGGGCGGGTCAAAGAAGCAATTCTTCTAGCCCAGAAGTTCTGAGGGCCCATAGTCCACCTGGCGGACTCTGTCAGGCTCACAGGGAACCTAGAGTCTAGGCTAGAGCATACAATCTAGGGCTAGACAAGTAGTCCTATCCGGGTTCACGTCACGTGAAACGGGAAATACACGCATGTGCCTCGCGTGGCGAGATCACTCGCGTTGTACACCTTTAAACAGAGTTTATCGGAATAGAAACGTTGCGATACTCTTGGTGTGAGGTGAGCTGTGAACACTCCATGAGTCGCACCGGGCACAGCTCCCAATATCATGTAAAATACTCGCGCCATGTGCACGAAAAGTGGTGGATCCAAAGTATATCTTCACGCATCGCGTGCCGATAGACTCCTCTCAGAGGAGTCCTCCGAGAAGTCT